CTCGCTCCGTTCCCACGGCTCTCGGCCCCGCCCCTCTCGTCACAGTATTTTATAAGAGGGCATACAGTACAACTTGATATAAAGCTCATTCGTTGTTTCAAACTGTGGAAAACGTGAGCTTGTAAACAATGCCACGTAACACATTTACCCCAGAATAACATTCGGTGTCCATAAGCTCATTAGTCAGCTATAGAAAAAATAACTATAAAGAGGAGAATTTTGCTAAAAGTATGCGCTATATTGCATATTCATATTTTTACTTAACCTGTTGTCTACATAAGAAAGAATGCAAGGAGCTAACGATAAAATTCAACTCCTCCTATAAAATTGCATGTTACTAATGAAGAAAAACAGACTGGATGTGTGCAAGACATTTAGGATTCATTGAGAAGGAGCCTAAACTACACTCAATGGACAAGTGAAGCTGACAGAGTTATGGTCAGTGATACTGCACAGATTCGGTGTGATAAACAATTCTTTGTGACTGTATATAGTTCTCAAATCAGAAAAGACGTTTAGTTCCCACTTTACGTGAACCTTAGTTCTCAGGAGATCTACAAGACGGATTAAAATGCTGATAAAGACAAGAAAAAATGAGACATAAACACATGACCAGTGGTATGACTGAAATGTTAAAGTGTCAAAAAAATTAATAAAACACGTTTGTTCTGTGGTACCTAAAAAATTATTTGGCGCTTAACACTGCAGCATTAACAACCAACACTAATGCAAACCTCAGCTGAGGACTGAACACATCAATAGCGTCACTCTGGAAACAAATACTACATTTTTGCTTTTGTTGATTTCTGAACTCTAAACATTCCTGAATAGTTTTTATTTTGTCTTGAAATTCAAAACAGCAGTGGACGAGCGGCGCACTAACTAGATTTTGGATATCAGCGTCCGGTCAAACATTTCTGTGTTACCATGAGAGAGATTCAGACGGACAGAAAACTGCTCAGAATGAACCCGGAGGTACTGACAATAATGAAAGTGTTTGTGAAGGTAGCCAAATACATATTAAACCAAAAAATATGCCTAGTACTATTGGACTGTGTATTGATTAACTTTTTTTTTAACTTTTTAACTATACCTTTCAAAAGTTTGGGTAAAGTCAAAATTGACAGTAAAGACATTTATAATGTTACAAAAGATTCCTATTTTAAATAAATACTGTTCTTTTGAACTTTCTATTCATCTGTAAATACTGAAAAATAAAATGAATCAGTTTCCACAAAAATACTGTGCCGTTTTCAACATTGATAATAATCAGGAATGTTTCTTGAGCAGCAAATAAGCACACACACTGGATCTTACTTGTGGAGAGCGTGTGTGACGGTCTTGCGCACGCGTCCGTCTCTCGGCGTGCTGCTGGGAGGTTTGGGCACGAGCGTGAGGAGCCCGGCGCGGCCCGTCTGGTTGAAGGTGCGTCTGAACGGCTGGCTCAGAGGGCTGCTGGGAGCGTGAGGTCGTGCTGAAGCAGCAGGTGTGAGCGTGTGTGCCGACAGAATGGCCTGAGACACAAATACAGTAAAGAGGAGAGATGAGAGCAGCAATTCATTCATACAGGCAGTTCCTGAAGTATACTGAAAATGAAATGCTTGTGCGTTACAATTGAATTATTTTAAGGTTAAAATACATTATTGTACACCAGTTTAAAATAATAGCTCATCCAAAAATTAACATTTGCTAAAAATATCCGCTAAGGACATCGAAGATTAGGATGAGTTTGTTCTTCATCAGATTTGGAGAAATGTAGCACTGCATCAGTGTCTCAGCAATGGATGCTCTGCAGTGAATGGGTGCCGTCAGAATGAGAGTCCAAACAGCTGATAAAACATCACAATAATCCACACCACTCCAGTCCATCAGTTCACATCTGGAGAAGACTGTGTTTTTAAAAAACAAATCAAATGCTACCATTAAGATGCTTTAACTTTAAACCGTTGTTTCTGGCTAAAATATCCATAATAATTCATTCACACTTCATCCAGTGATAAAGTCCATCTACTGTTGTTTCTCACATCAAAATCCAGCCACATGTATGTTTAGAGCTCTTTTGGACTGTTTTAGCTTGTAAACGGTGCTTGATCTGTGCAGATTTCGCCCCTGATTCGAGCCAGACCACTTTTTTCACTGGAGGAAGCGTTATTATGGATTATGTTGGCCAGAAAGAACAGTTATTTGTCTTAATGATGGATTTGTTTCAGCTTTTGTCTTCTCCAGATGTTAACTGATGGACTGGAGTGCTGTGGATTATTCTGATGTTTTTATCAGCTGTTTGGACTCTCATTCTGACGGCACCCATTCACTGCAGAGCATCCATTTCTGAGACACTGATAATCTTGGATGGCTTGAGGGTGGGGACATTTTCAGCAAATTAAAAAATTTTTGGTGAACTATTATAATATGCAAGACTGATATATTAGTGTACATCTAAATAGTCTCACAAATATATATATATATTTTTTTTTACCATTGTAACGTTTGTTTAAATCTGAAGTGCTAAAACGGTTTGTCTATTTCAGGATTCAGTGAGATCTTCCAGCAGAATAAAACGATTGTGTTGAACGGTCCTGTGAAGGAACGACCTTATCTCAGTCTTTATTAAAAGCAGCATTTTTCCTTCGAGTCATTCGAGGTCAAGCACAACAGCCCCCAAAAGCCAGTTCATTCACTCACACGGAAGAAAGAAATGACACGGCTTATCATAACAGCCACTAAATACTTTATAATCGGACATACCAAAACACAGGAATTCTTCACATTTCATTCTTGTTTAGACAAGTTTTCATCTGAGTGAGAGCTTGGACTCGGTAAACATATTTTCCACTCTGACATGCGATTTAATGGCTACCGTTCATTGATTCGAATGAGACGAGAAAGCATTCTTTCCGTCTCGCTGCCGTGAGGGAGTTGTGAGTCCCCTGGCGTTTGATGAATGAGTGGACGGGACTCACACTGTTGTTTCTCACATCAAAATCCAGCCACATGTATGTTTAGAGCTCTTTTGGACTGTTTTAGCTTGTAAACGGTGCTTGATCTGTGCAGATTTCGCCCCTGATTCGAGCCAGACCACTTTTTTCACTGGAGGAAGCGTTATTATGGATTATGTTGGCCAGAAAGAACAGTTATTTGTCTTAATGATGGATTTGTTTCAGCTTTTGTCTTCTCCAGATGTTAACTGATGGACTGGAGTGCTGTGGATTATTCTGATGTTTTTATCAGCTGTTTGGACTCTCATTCTGACGGCACCCATTCACTGCAGAGCATCCATTTCTGAGACACTGATAATCTTGGATGGCTTGAGGGTGGGGACATTTTCAGCAAATTAAAAAATTTTTGGTGAACTATTATAATATGCAAGACTGATATATTAGTGTACATCTAAATAGTCTCACAAATATATATATATATTTTTTTTTACCATTGTAACGTTTGTTTAAATCTGAAGTGCTAAAACGGTTTGTCTATTTCAGGATTCAGTGAGATCTTCCAGCAGAATAAAACGATTGTGTTGAACGGTCCTGTGAAGGAACGACCTTATCTCAGTCTTTATTAAAAGCAGCATTTTTCCTTCGAGTCATTCGAGGTCAAGCACAACAGCCCCCAAAAGCCAGTTCATTCACTCACACGGAAGAAAGAAATGACACGGCTTATCATAACAGCCACTAAATACTTTATAATCGGACATACCAAAACACAGGAATTCTTCACATTTCATTCTTGTTTAGACAAGTTTTCATCTGAGTGAGAGCTTGGACTCGGTAAACATATTTTCCACTCTGACATGCGATTTAATGGCTACCGTTCATTGATTCGAATGAGACGAGAAAGCATTCTTTCCGTCTCGCTGCCGTGAGGGAGTTGTGAGTCCCCTGGCGTTTGATGAATGAGTGGACGGGACTCACCGGCTGGCGGTTCTGAGTTGTGGGCCAGAAAAGGGCACCTTTCTAAAGCTGCCAGGTGGCCACGGGCCAAGACAGCAGAGGAGCCGTGGAGTCTGTACCAGCACTGAACACAGCACCGCAATCACAACGCTTTCCATCTCTGCTCTCACAGATCAAGCGATCAAAACAGATCTAAAAACATGATGAGCCAAACCAACGCTGGCAAAAAGGAGACGTCATAAAAGCTAGATCTTTGTTCTGTCATTAAATTTATTAGCTTTTCTGTGTATTCAATTTACCTACAGGCAATTAGAATCATGCTTAATATAAATACATTTTTAAAAATACACTAGTGGACAAAAGTTTGGAGTCAAGCTTTTTTAAAGGGGTCATATGATGCTATTTTAAAGATAATTATTTGGTGTATTTGGTGTAACAGAATATGTTGACATGCTTTAATGTTCAAAAAGCTTTAATGTTTTTAAATGAAGTCTCTTCTGCTCACCAAGGTTGTATTTATTTGATCAAAATACAGTAACAATTGTGACATATTATTTCAATTTAAAACAGCTGTTTTCTATGAGAATATCTGTTAAAATGTACTTTATTTCTGTGATGTGCAGCTGTATTTTCAGCATCATTACTCCAGTTTTCAGTGTCACATGATCTTCAGAAATCAGTATAATATGCTGATCTGCTGCTCAAGAAACATTTCTGATTATTATCAATGTTGAAAACAGTTGTGCTGCCCAATATTTTTGTGGAAGCAGTGATACATTTTATATTTCAGGATTCACAGATGAATAGAAAGTTAAACAGAACAGCATTTATTACAAATAGAAATCTACTGTAACATCATAAATGTCTTTACTGTCACTTTTGACCAATTTATTGCATCCTTGCTTCATAAAAGCATTAATTTCTTTTAAACTTTTGAACAGTAATCATGGAGATTGCAACCTGCCATTTATTTGTGCTGTGAGATCAGTGCTAATGGAAGAACTGTAGCCTTCGGATGAAAACATGTGTGTATGTGGCTGTAGTAATGAATGTGTGCTTGGTCGAGTCTCAGAAGAAGAGCAGTGCTTCATGGGGAGATTTAGGGAGTATCCACTGATACAGCGCTGACTCACAAACAGCGCAAAGATATATACACACACACACACACACACAGACACTCACACACACACTCTCACACACACTCTCACTCGCACTCGCACTCGCACACACACACACACACACACACACACACACACACACACACACACTGCTGACCGACTATTTCATTCACATTTACTGTAATGCAGTGTGAGTTGAGAGCCTATGATGGACACCTCCTCCAAGGGTCCCGTGGCTTAATGAAGTCCTCTGGAGACGGTGGACTGATTGCGTCACAGCACCAGGGAGGAGATCTCCATCCAGAAAAGTCTGTGGGGGTGAGGATAATTTTTCCATAATCCCTGCTGAACACAACCGACTCGTGCCAAGAAAAACAAATCTCCAATCGCATTAATTAGCGACGATGTTAGCGGGCGGCGCTCAAGACGTGATGTTTACAGGATCTGATGCAAGTGTGACATGCACAGCTGAGAGTGAAACACACAAGAAGATCACGTTTCATTCAGACTAAACTCCACTGGAGGAACTGGAACATTATAATGAGAGTCATCCAATACTCTGGCTCCTTTAACCTTCAAAAGAAAGCCAATTTTAGGTTTCCACTAGCCTATCGCACAGATAGGCACACTATAATGGGACCAGGTTCAACATGAGGGTCAGTGGTCTCACGTTTATTAACGCATGTGAGTTTTTATGCTTTGCAAACATACACATTTGGTTTTCTGTGATGTTTTGAACATTGCTGTTGCAAGTTCTGCTCACTGTATTACTCACATTAAGTCACTTTTTATCATATGAAACATGCTTTGCTCATATTCCAAAGCAACTTATATGATGCAAGTAACATTAAGCACACAAGACACGCACAAGCGCTAGGAGTGTTTAAATGAATCGTTGCATCGCGATGCGGAGGCAGGCAAAACACCAAAGTGGGTATTTAATAATGCATGCACTATTTTTAAATTTTAGATTCTGAGCTTGGTTTTGTCTCACATATAAAAACGTGTGCGTGCTAGAGAGAATCGTGGAGGCTTCATTGCACAGAATATGCGCTGTAAGATTTATTTCAGTGTTTTACTTTAGATATGCTTAGATTCACAAAACTCACGCACTGACAGACTTTCACGTGCGCTCTGTGTTAGTTGTCCTGAAGCTCGAGCGCGGCTGCGGTTAAATGCACTTGCATCTCCGAATACTTTTATAATAGGAAACTGATGTAAACGGAGTCAGTTTTCAGAACAGGACAAAACATCTGATATGTGTTAATAGATCTGTGCATTAGTGTGAACGCAGCCTGCTACTCTCTATGACGTCATTAGTAATAATAATAATAATCAAACAGCAATAATGCTGAGGAAAAAATAAAAACCCATAACAATGATCGTGTGTAAACTTTCAGATAGCCTACTGAAAGCACTCTTTTGTTTATCACTTTGTAATTGACCTCTTCCCCCTTTTTTACTTTCTATTTGCTTGAATGTTTTGAAGCTATATTTAATTGGTTAAATTCTTAACAATTGTGTTGATTTATAATTAATTTGTAATTATTTGGTGTTGAGGCAGAGGTACGCAAGTTTATTAGTGTAGTGCAGCGGTTCCCAAACTAGGGGTGCACAGACCGACCAGCAGGGGTGCACGAGAGAATGCTTTTGATGATCTGTGTGCTTTTTTTGAAGGGGCAAGTGAAAGAGAATTTTACTTGCCCGACCGGACAACTAATCTAATCTTATTAAAACATCGAATTAGGGAAGCACCAAAATTTTGGCGAGAATGATTCAGATTTTATTACACTTGGTGTAAACGGCAATTCATAATGGATAATCAATAGAAACAAGTTCGCGGCAGTTGAGACTCACGTGAGACAATCTCATGGAGAAATCGAAACAAATGAACACAACTGCACACAAAAGAAACATACTACGGTAAAAAAATGTAGTTTTTATATTTATTACATAAAGCCTAGCCTAATTAATTAACATGACACGACTAAGAGAGTGCAGTTTCCCCGAAAATCAGTACGATTGTAAATTCGACATTGATTTTAAACAAGACTTCAAACGAGTAGCTACTATTAAGTGACTTTGGGCATATATTTTAGTACAATAATGTCAATATGACTGTTTTTGCTGGATTTGTTTAACGAAAATAGTTCCAAACAAACTTAGCAGCAGAACTATCGCGCATCTCTGAGCAACACACAGCGTTAGTGGTGTTTCGTTAGGCTACTGAATGAGTCACATTTTTAAATTAATAATTTGAGTTAGGGATGCACCGATATGAAAATTTTGGCCGATACCGATAACGCCTCAATGACTCGCTCATTAAGACGGGCAACTTGCTGCCACCTGCTGGCGGGATACTTTCAAATTTAAAAGTAACTTTTTTTTTTTAATTTCTTACAATTTATCATATTTGTAAATAAAAAAACCTGATGTAAAACACCAAGTTGACAGCATTATTTATGCTGTTGTAATTTTGCAGTGTTAATGCATTCATGC